AAAAAGACTTTATTTATGCATACAGAACTAGGGTACAGGCCAGAGGTGCAGGGGCCATGAAAGGATTCACCAGAGACAGATTGGGGAGCAGAATAGGTAGATCGACAAAGTACACTGCTGAGGGGAGCAGTGGGCAAGACAGGAGGGGTCTGCTGTGCCTCATGGGTCACCTCCAGGGCTGAGGACTGAACTGGCACTGAAGCAGTTGCAGCTAGCTTGCAGTGTTGCGCTCCAACCCACTGTGCCACCAGGGAGGGCCTCAGCCTCATTCTAACATGTCCTTATTTCACCACTATTTTGTGACAGATGACCTATGTCAAAGATGTTTTTATACAGATATCATTATAGATTATTTTAATAAAAATACACACTTGAATACATATATAACAACAGTTCCAGTCTGTAGACAATTTACAACAGGAGATACCGAGAAAACTTACTTGAGCATAATGTCAGATTCTGCCACAATTTCTCTAAGTTTAGCTTTTGGTATTGCCTGTTCAACAAGCAAACCATGTGATTTAGTATACCTGGAGTTTATAACAAAAGAAAAAGAGAATGAATGAGTTGAAGCAATTTAAATCTGTTATTGTTACAAAGCATTCTTCAGTGTGAGAAAATACAATATTTCAATCATATTTTAGATTTTAATTTAATTTAAAATTTAAATTCACCACCAATGAATATACAGCAAATATGTCTCAAATGCTACATCCATTCTTAAGCATTTCCTAGTTCTCCACAAATGCTGGCTTACTTTAACTGTGTAAATAAGACTCTCCTCAGTCTACAGATAAGAAATGATGTAACCTAAGGAGGTATAATCATTCCTTTGCACTATGCATCAGAGCAAATGCAATTTTTTTCCACCCATGAAATGCTAAACACTAATGATATTATGAGAGAAAATCCTTGTGATGAAAAATTTACATATAGGTACTTTACAACAACATATAAACATCAGTAGCCACAGCATCTCAGTTTAACAGGTCTCTAGAAGCTCACTACCTTTTACCTAAAAAGGCCCCTATAATATTCTTAAGCAACCCTCCTCTCTGCCTGGGTCAGCTCTCATCATGTTAGTGAGCTCATCTACCCATGGAAACTTATTCTATTAAAATTCCAACTACTAGACAGTCCTTTGTCATGATGAAAGCAGTCTTGTTCAGTGTCCCAAGTCTATCGCCACTTCTACTTCTTCAGGCATGTAGAATGAGTCTAATTTCTTCCCAACATTTTATATCATAAAACATGATTAAGTGTGCCAGCTACTGTTTTAGCCAGTGGAATAATGGAAATAAATAACATCATTCCTGGTCTTTTAAGATTCTGAAAGTTGTTGCTTCTGAATAAAGGTATTCTCTATTCCTTGAAATATTCCTCAAATGGAGTGGTGTTAATTCTTGTGATTATCTTAGGGAACTCCTCTGACACTAAGTTTGTCAACATTTCTCTCAACAGCATTTCCCAGGATTCAATGCTTTTAGTGTGGAATACTGCATTTAATTAATGCAACCAACACCACTCAGTACCATTGTCACCTGCTGGCTCCAGCTGAGTTCAGACTCCTGATGCATTTCTTTCACATAGTCAGTCACATCTTGTCCATATACTTTAAAAAAAGTGTTTTAATTTAAGGCTTACATGCCGGATTTTAAATTTAAACTAATCAGAAAAATCGGAATAATTGTCGTATGTATGTATTTTTAAAAGATTTATTCATTTGTGCATACAGAACTGGGGTACAGGCTAGAGGTACAGGGGCGGTGAGAAGATTCACCAAAGACAGAGTGGGAGCAGAACAGGGTGATCGATGAAGTACACTGCTGAAGGGAGCAGTGGGTAGGTCAGGAGAGGTCTGCTGCCGCGCCATGTGGTCACCTCTGGGTCAGGGATCAAACTCATGCTCAAGTGGCTTTAGCTTCTTAGTGTTGTGCTTTAACCCACTGTGCCACTAGGGAGGGCCCTCATTGTTATATTTAATCATTGTTGAACTCATTAGATAATTTATGAATCGATATACAGTATAGGGGGAAATGAAACATTTACAGTAACTGTAATGTTATTTTATTATATTTTTACTCTCTTATAGCCTAATGCACACTTACCATTCAACCATATAAGGGTACTTCTCTTCTACAGTTAAATCAGGATCAATTTCAATTGCATAATATTTTTCCTTTAGTTTCAGCAACTAGAAAGAAACGAGTAACTTAATCAGGAGAATTACAGAATTGTTATTAAGTTGGTTGGCTTCATGGAAAGCAAAACAGTCTAAAATGTTTTCCAAAAATTGCTTTATAATGTGAAGATTAGTACATTCATCTAGATGATAGGCTGACTGAAGAGATCTTTGTTGATCTTAGTTTACATGTGACTAAGTACACCTATAAAAAGTTGCCTTTGTAGCTCTTTAAGTTCTTTTGGGTCTGCAATTTGATGAAATTGAATAATAATTCAATTATCACTATAAAACAACTTGTATTCTTACATGAAAGAATAACATTCGATTCACATTTGGAATCTTATTTTGTTAAGAGCAATAACTGTTCAAAGGAGAGAACTGAAGCACTTTGGGGATCAATACATGGGAACAAAACTTAGACAAAAGCAAAGTACTTTTGTTTTCATTCTCCAGTTCATGTAAGACAACAGACTATTTAGTTAAAAAATTTTTTAAATTTAGTTCAACATTTAAAAGGTATTTGTAAAAGTTGTACTGCTGCTTAAAAAGGTACTATTAATTTTGTCTTTAGAACATTCTGAGAATGATAATCCATACAGTAAATGTTTTCTATGTCTCAGGTACTTTGCATTCATTCCTGTCCGTGTGAATGAATTTGAAGAAATTAAATTTCTCAGGCAAAAAGGCTAATGTAGTCATTGACTAACTCTGGGTTATTGCTAATGTTTACCTTTTGTCTACATTCATCTGAAACCAGCTTGCAGTTGTCAATGACATCTAAAGAGAGAAAGAAAAGCCTGCATTAAAAGAAAAATGATTGATGCTACCACGACTACAACGAACGCCTTCCTCTTGCCTCTATCAGCTACCACAGTCTACAACTTTTTGATCCCAGCGCTGTCACATGCATGGTGTTGGTAGGAAATCTGATGGTTTAAAAGCCAAGGTTCAGTGGCCGATTACACGGCTACCTCAGGGAGGTAGTTCACAGTCTTCATGCAGTAGAAATGTACACTGACCAGTTCCTTCTTAACGAAATAGAAGCAAGGAACACATCTTTGAAATCGACTCGTTTCTTAATGACAAGTTAATAAACAATGTAAAATTTTGATAAATACAGATTAATTTGGTAAAGAAAACCAAATTATTTTACCATTTAATCATAAATTATAATATTTCAGTATATTTCCTTTCAGCTTAAAATGCTATATATATCAATTAGAGAAAATACTCTACCAGACTTAGTTGTGACCCCTGCTTGCTTTTTTACTCTACATTTTTCTATGCATTTAAAAATAATAGTTGATATTCTCTGGTATGTAGGCATGACATATTATTTATAACATTTCCACAGCATTAAACGTTGTAGGTTGCTATTTGCTATATAAATAATATTGCTTTTTGCTTTTAGAACATTCTGAGAATGATAATCCATACAGTAAACCTGATTTATTTAATATGTAAATAATATTAAATAATATCACATTAAATATTAACTAAATAAATTAAACATTTAAAAATATGAAATAAAAATTAAAAATTAGGATTACTCTATGGATTATCATTCTCAGAATGTTCTAAAGCTTTTGCTATTATAAATAATAATGACTTGTCACAAAAGTCATGATGTATTTTTTTTTTTAGTCATGATGTATTTTTTCTGTTTTTCAAGCAAAAACGTATCATGACTGCTCCAACAACCCAATACCATGTTAAACTTAGCTACCACTATTTTTGTAAGGAAAGTTTTCCCCCTCCCCAACAAGGAATTATTTGTTTAGAAATTCTCCAAAGAGGAATCAGTGGACCAAAAGCATAGTTTTTATATGAACTATGTTTTCTTAAATATTTCATATACACACCAAATATATAATATATAAATATAAATTATCAAAATACTTTATTAAACTACACATGTACCACTAGTAACTGAGAGAGTTTGTATCTTTGCTTATCAGGTTGGAGAGTATTATTTTAGAAACTTCCATATTTGGAAAACATAAAAAGGTATATATCACCTTAGCAACATTTTAACTTGAGATATACTGATGAATCACTTTTATGTAATTTATAAATAAATTTTTATATCTAAACAATAAAAAAACTTAGTAACATTTTTAGAAAATGCCGACCACTTGATACATTCTGTTTTATAGGCAACCCCATGTAAACTCCATAATAATTTTCCTTGAATAATGAACAGACCACATTTGAAGCAAGAAATTTCAGAAGTATTCATTCTTCTTGCAACCAAAATCATATATGAAAATACTCATTAATATAACATGAAGAAAAACAAGTTTTCAAAATATAATAAGAAAAAAACAAGTCGCCTCACTTTCAATATCCCAAAAGAACAAGAAGAAAAACCAAAACAGTTAACCTTAGGTAACACAGGTAGAAATTATATAAACAAACTACAGTTCATTTATGAATGCCACACTTACTATGACATGTCGGGCATCTTTTCCCATCACAAGAAAATCTACTCAGTGTCATATCAAAGTCTGTTATTATCTGTCAGAAAGGGGAAAAAGCATTATAAAAACACAGCTATCATGGTTGGGTGCCTACTGTGTGCCTCCTTAAAATATGGGTCCCCATTCATACTGCTGATTGTTCTCTCTGTATTGAGCGAGCTACTGAGGTTCATAGATAGTCACGAGAATTGCCTTGATTTAACTAGCACTATCACCAAATCTGAAACTCAGTATAGGAGTTTGCAGAGGGAACTGATACATAAAACACTGTACAAATACTAGTTGGTAATGTGTAAAAATGTAGTGAAGGCAATCAAAACTATAGGAAGCTCTTAGTTACAGTTATTGGCACTGTTACATTCTGGGTTTAAGGTAAACTACACCAGTGAATGAATGAGACATGGTAACTGTCTGCCAGTTCTCGAAACTTTGATTGGGTTAAATGTTTTTTTCAGAAATGCTTCAAATCCACTAGCCCTAATAAAGTTACATCTTAATTTGAACTGCTAGGATATATTTCTGTTTATTTAAATGGGTGTAATGTCTGTGTGTGTGTAAAGAACTGGGGTGTAGATCAGAGGTGTGTAAACCTGGGCTGTTAATTATTGTTTGTTTCAACAGGTTATTCTGTGTATCTTAGACCAACTCCAGGCAAGTTTTTTAGATGTTATATTCTAAAAGAATTTTAGAGTCTGAATTTTTTAATTCAGCTTTTAGCAAAACATGAGTTGAATGAGACTACTCGAACATTAAAAGTAAAAAGACTCATTATCAAGGGTTTTTTGACAATTCCTCACCTGAAGTTTGGCAGCTCCTCCTTTAATGAGGCCACAGATAATTTCTTCTACTTTTGTAGGATCCTTCATGTGAACTGAAGTTTTCTGGAATTCTGGCATCTGAAAATAAAAGGATATAAAAGATTGAGGCATTATTTTTTAAAAAGCAAATCACCAAATCAGATTGCTATTTACACACACAAATATTTTCAAGGACATCAGTTTTCATCTAGAAGGTTAAGACACAACTGTATTTGTGACACATTATCAGAAAGTAATTCTTCTGTTGATAAAAGTTATGTAAGGCTTACTGCAGAAATAATAGAAAACAGAAAATAACAATTGCCTGGAATTGTATTAACAGAAGACAAACAAGGTAACATTTTTTAAAAAAGATTTATTTATGTTACAGAACTGGGGCTGAGTCTAGAAGTACGGTGTGTAAGAGGATTCAACAGAGACAGAGTGGAAAACAGAACAGGCTGATCTATTGAAATATACAGCTGAGGGGGACAGCGGGCAGGTCGGGAGAGGCCTCCACACCATGTTGGCCAGCTCCCTAGCTGGGGATTGTACTCTTGCTGCAGTGGCTTCAGAGAGCTTCATAGTGTTTTAACCCATTGCGCACCAGGGAGAGCCCCAGTTAACATTTTAATTTATTTTTGATTTTTATGATTATAAATGTGCATTTATATATTTTCATTTTCATTGTGTACTTTTATATCTGACTCTATAAAATTAATATTATGAATATAGCTAAATATGTTTTTAACAGAATTCATTAACATAAAATCCTAGGGTTAAACAAGATATGTCATGAAGTGGTGATGGCACATGGATGAACTAGTGGTAGGGAGCCTATGGGGATTACAACTGAGATGAAAAATGCACAAAATGAAGAATGATGTAAAAAAACTTAAAAAAAAAAGAACATTTCTGTTTAAGATCTAGTTTATATCAATTTTACATTTAGAAGCACTTCTTCAAAAAGCAAGCAAATATTATATAATTGTCCCCCACATTTATTTTTGTATGATAATCAAAATGTCTAATACACTTCATATGAAACATTACTTTAAGATATTTACTCCTTTATTGTACTATAGAGCATAAATTTAACTTGGATTTGTTTCAAGTTGAGACAACTACTGAAAGAATTAGACCACCTGGGGCTTAGGCTGCTATTAGGCTGGTTTATGAAGATGGTAATGCTGCTCACCAATAAATGTTAAATATTCTTTTTTCTACCTATCACAGATAGAATCAAAATGATCAGCATAAACCAGCACAGCCATAATGCTCCTGTAGTACATGAGGATGAAATTAAGGATCATTTAATAATTTATTGACAGGAACAGAAGCTCAAATCAAGGTTCTACAATTTTTTTTTTTAAAGATTTATTTTATTTGTACATACAGAACTGGGGTACAGGCCAGAGGCTCAGGGGTAGTGAGAGGCTTCACCAGAGACAGAGTGGGGAGGAGAACAGGCAGATCTATGAAGTACACTGCTGAGGGGAGCAGCAAGCGGGTCAGGAGAGGTCTGCCACGCCATGTGGTCACCTCTGGGGCAGGTGGGAATCGAACTCATGTGGAAGTGGCTTTAGCTTCTCAGTGCAGTGCTTTAACCCGCTGCGCCACCAGGGAGGGCCACTACAATGGTTTTTAACAAATAATCTTTATTTATTTTATACATAATTACTTTGTGTATGTTGTCACCAATATTAACACACTTCATGTGTACAAGAGACATGACTGTAAAAATTCTCTCTAAAGACATGACTAAAAATTCTCTGTTTGCTATGAGATAATATGACCATTTAAGTCTATCAAGTCCCATGTTGTTTCTACATAATGGACAAAATTAGAAAAAAGCTAAAATGGTCTCCAAAGACCAGAAGATGAATACATAAGTATATAGAAAAGAGAAATGCTAAGCTACAATTTTTTCCATAATGAGAAACCAGGACCTACATGTCACTCAATTCCAAAAAGTATGCAGGATAGGACACCTTACAACAGTGATTCTTTTAACTGGACTTTAAGGGTTTCAATAAGTTATAGAAGGTTATCTACATATTTATTATATAGTGATTTTTCAATACATGAGGAAAACAGGTACTTGTTTCTGTATTCCTTTCTCCCACTTATTAATCCATTAATTTAGTTAAGAACTGCTTACAAATACTTAGCAAGACACTCTGGCTAGATGCTTAAGGGTATGATGATGAGCAATACTTAAACTGCTTCCTGCTGGGCTTAAGGAATTAGAGCTGCTTTGAAATATTACTTCCATAGCTTCTTTATAAACCCTCAACTACTACATTTCAATTCTGCTCTTACTGCTTTGTTAAATGACAGATGCACAGTAATCAGCATAGGCTGGTTTAATAAACCATTATTGAAAGCAACAGAGTCACTGGCAATATTTCCACCAAGGAGCTAAACATTTTATTTCATTGTGTCCACATAGAGGAAAATTTCATGGCTTAAGCAAAGTGTCAGATGATAGGAGAATAGCATGAAGACTACTTCTAAATGGGATGGTTTCTGCTAGGCTACCAACTCTAAGGTTGATTTATTCTGTATCACTGATCAGAGAATCCATAGAATTGGTACTGCTGCTTCTGCACAACACAAAGTCCATTTATTTTAGATAAAGTAGTGACTACCCAAGCAGCACAGAGATGAAAGCAGCTATTCTCTCCAGAGAGTACAACAGGGTAGAAGACACAGCTGTAAGGAATATTAAAATTTTGCCTTGGGTTACACACCCAAGTTGCAGTAATATACTACACACTCTTTGCAACACACATACAATGTCACTAAAGTATATGATAAATATATCTCAGCAAGCTGAAATACTGGACTTTTTACTCAAATATTTTAGAATGCAGCCTGAAAAATTGAAAATACTGTATGAAATGTGTCAAAGACTATCCAAACGTTAAGAAACACACTGCAGAAGTGGGCATTTAATGTGACATCATGTACTTTGTTACCTCCTCAAATCCCTTCTTCATATTCCTTTTGGAAAGAACATTCCTGTTTGGTGGCACATAAAATAACATGCATAATTTGAAGGCAAATTAGATTGGGCTGTTCCAGGACTTTTCAATTTGATTACAATACAACTTTATGGAAAATAAGTAAGGGGCTAACATGCCTATCATTTGTGAACAAAAGAAAACAAATTTATTTTATAAAATCCATAATGTAAAATTTGGGGGTTGTTGTGAAGCTTCACTGACAAAAATCAAGGTATTTTTGGTTGACTGGAGCCACATCTGATTCTACACTAGAAAACATTCAGACTATAGCTGGCTAAGAAAAATCCAAAATACATTTATTCGTTTGACCTTCAATATATTGCATTTGTAGAGAGAAAACAAATTTCTAATCATTAATCTACTTAGTTAAAAAGCAGTGGTTTCTAAAGAAGTTGACTTCAAATTTAAGTAGCTTTATTCACAACTGTATAGCAATGAAAGATTATTCCATATTACCTTGCAAAAACCCTGAGACCAGATACAAGTGATTATCTGCACGGTATAGTCCAAGCTGCAAGTCTAAACTTGGTTGTATATCACAAATCCAATATTAATTCCCAGACTATGATCATCCTAATTCCCAGAATGGTATGATGACAACTTCAAAGATTAAATCTATTTATTATGAAAAATAGTATTAAATTTTGGTTAAAAAATCCACAGAATATAAATGCATCCTATTTATAGAAATACATTAGCTACAAACTAATTAGGAGTTATTATTTAGCTTACAATGTATAAAACAGCATGATTCATATTTTAACCAAAGATAAAAGAAATGATTTGTACTTTTAATTTATACAGTTGCTTATCTCTATGGGCTTTAAGTTATCTTAAAGTTGCCCTAATGATACTTATCTGTATATTACTTAAAAATAGCCATGTGAAAATTAGTTTAAATTACTTTAGAATCTGTCCAAAGTCCTTATGGGAAACATTCTTTCTTGGCTGTCCAGTGTTCATACATGGTATAAGCAAAAGACTTCATTACTGCGTTGGTACAAGGAGTGAGCACCACTTTTTTATGTGACTAGATAAAAGGTGTAGAATTCAAGCCATTTAGATGATTCTATGATGTATTTGGAAGATTAAGCATTACTAAATTTCAGAGCTAGCCATCTCTTTACAGCCTGGAGAGGTGTGTGTGATGTTTGGAATGAGAAAACGAGCTAGATCAGAAGCTTTCAACTCAAAAGATAAAGCAACAGTCTGAGAAAAGAAAACCCAGAGTAAAAATTGTGTAAAATAATACAATATTAGCAAAAAAACAAAAAAAAAAAAACAAGTACATGGCACCTTTTAACCTTTTAGTGTCACAGAAAATTATGTAACAACAAATCACATTCTTACATCACTTGTATTCCACTTTGGTTAAAAAAAAAAAGTCAACTGGAGCAAGAAAATGTATACTGATTTAAATCTACATAGCAGAAATACATGCTCAATACCAATGAGTCAAATGCTAATCATGCAATGGATATACAAATCACATCTAAGTATTAGGTGGAGCCACACCCAGCTGTCAATATTGGACCATATTGAACAGCAACTTTAAATGCCTCATCCTAACAGCAGGACTACACTGACCACTTCATGGTCAGCTTTCATGTCCCATCAGACAATGGATGAAGAAAGTTAAGCTGAGCAAAACATTATTGTGATACAAAGCTCGTCATGTGTTAAGTAATGTAATGGTCCATAGGCTCTAGTCAGAAAAAGAAAGCTAGAAAGAGAGGAGTTAAACATTAAAAAGAACAAGAAGGAAAACGAGAAAGAGATGAGGCAGTTGTCTTCTTTAAGAGACAGGAAGAAACGGTTATTTTTAGGATTTTGTCATTGTGAATATGGAGAAGGGATATAATTTTTTTCCCACTTGTACAAATAACTATGCTACTTACAGAGTTAAAACACTCACTAATACAGGAAATTAAAATCTATTGCGGAAATTTTTTTTACTGAAATATTGTATGTTATTAGGTACCTTACAAAATTTTAAAATTAAATAGTAATAACATTTTAGTTATAAGATGAATAAGGTCTCAGGATTAACTTTAGCATGATGACTATTAG